AAACAATATCACAGTTATGAACAATGTTGCATTAGAATCGTTACCCAGTTCACCTGATTATTCTACTCCCACAACCCATCACAGTAAACTGTTACATTATTTTTTCCAATGTTTGTTTGCCACATTGAAAACTCAGGCTTAATGAACCTTCTCAAAGTAAACAAAATTCTTCCTTCAGGCCAGCTGAACCCTGTCTAGTGTGCATATAATTAGCCATGTGCATTTTCTGAATCCTATTATGTTTAATTACAAATCCATTTCTTTCTTTCTCTTTCTCCTTTCAAGCAAACAAACAAAAAAAAAAGCAGTAGTTTCCAGGAAAATATACTTGTCTTAAAGTCTCAAGCCACTGTTGGCTATTTTTGTACACGCCAACGTGAAGATTACATTCTATTGAATGTGAGATGAAATGATTTTCTTTCTTCCCATTATCACATAATTTACCTTGAGTGAAAGAGTTGTCATCAGCACATCTGGTTGCTAGACAGAACAATGAGACATTTATAATGAATAATGTTGCGTAATGAAGCATTCCAGGTACATGAAAAGTGAATCTCCAAAGAGACCAGGGCTGTCATTTTTGTTTGGTTCTGAAGATGAACACCTGTGATCTCACGTTTCCCTTTGATAGTTACCTTCATAAAATTAACAGCGATTCAGATTTGAAGTCTAATCCACATTCAATTTGAATAAGTAAAAAGACTGTTCTTCTCTAGGTCAATATCTAGTATTTTGAGGGCCTGAGATACTTTTACACATGAAAAGGGAGGTATTAGGAAAGTGATATCCATTTGGCAACAAGATTCTCTCTAAATATGCAAATGCCTGTGACTAAAGGATACATGTGAATTACCGCTAATATGTTATCATGTCCTAGTAGAATTAGACACTTTCTTTTAATGTGGAAGAATATTGATAAAATGCTGTTTGCATTTTAAAAGTGATACTTCATGTAGGATTTCATGTAAAATATAAGTGTATGCTAATTCTCTCCGTATAGTGAAACACACTTTCTATTGATAATTTTTTTAAATGTGAACACTCAATTAATCCTAACTAATTAATAAGTAAATTCAAATCAGTGTGGTATCTGGTATCAGTGTGGTATCTTGAGAAATTAAAATAATTGCAAAGAAACAACTCACTGAAAAGCCTGGATTTGATTTGCACAGAACCATGTATGGTCACTTACTAGCAGCTCAGCATAGCGATTGTAAGTCCTGGGTCTATGTCCTGCATGCCTGCATTTTAATATTTTCTTCTCATTTGTTTTGAGAACCACTTCAGGTGCTTAAGCTCTTCAGGGTCACAGTTTGTCCATTCCCAAAAGAGAAATCATTATAATTTCCACACAATGAGCCTTGGTTAGAACTCAGTTTGTTAACATACATATCCAGTGTTTCTGAACAATGGCCAGCACATGAAAGCAGCCACTATGTGGAAGTCATCACGATTATGTTAGGTTTCATGAACATAGTCCTAAAACGTGCCTCCTTGATATAATGAATATTTTGTGCTTAAAGGGATCTGGGAACTCACAGAAGCAGGAATTCTCTGGTCATAAAACTAAAGAAAGCCATTCTCAGACTCTTGCCACCCTTTCTTACAGGAGACTCTTCATGTGCACATGTTCTGTGCTATACCCAGATTGAACCATGTCACCTGGGTGATTATAAAGTCCTTGCCAAGTGTCTCCAGTTTTCAGTACTGAATTACACCATTTGAATCCAGGCATGAGCTCCTTGCTTGGCTACAATACATAGTGCTGTAGCCATGTGCACACAGTCCTGAAATAATGTGCACACAAGCAATAACATGGACTTAGTAGGTAATATTCGCATATTTGTGCCATCTCCCGCCACTTACAAATAATAGCCAGGGGAGAAAACAGTATGAATTTGAAGGGGTCATGGGAGAAGTTGGAGGAAGGTAACTTTGGAGGAGCTGGATAAAGAGATGGGATGTGATATAATTATATTTTAATTAAAATATTTAAAAACTTTTAAAATAGAGCACTAGGTATAATTCCTAAAGTATTGATGAACAAGAAAGGGGGTGCTTTTACTGCAAAAAGTGTATGCATATTTATCCAGGAAAGACTCGGTATCACACATGTATGCCTCTGTCCCCAGGACAGTCTCAGTATCACATGTAAAGGCAGGCACATTTCTGACAGACAGTTTGAAACAGTATGTGTTATAAAACATGGGGAACGAGAATGTCTCTGATTTGAGAATTTAGTACCTCCATAGCAAAGATTATATGAAGGCATCCAAATATTACATATAAAGTAGATTCGGATAATTGGCTCTAGCTCCTCAAAAGATGTTATCTGAAATAAAATGAATTTGGAGGAGCAGTTTCCCTTCCCTTGCAGGAAAAGGTGACTGATCTAAAAAAGTAGCTGCTCATTGGCTGTCGTTGGAATCTTTAAATCTGTTTTGTATAAATTCATTTGCTTTTTTCCTAACTAGTCTGTAATGGACACTAGTCTACCCTTGCTTATAGATATTTATGCCATAAGCCTTTAAGCACAAAGGAGAATTTATTTTCATTTTCATCCATCATTATCCTCTCAAGTGATATAGTATGAGATAAACAGACTGAGATGCTTTTTATTATAAGTAATTTAATATGTGAATAAGGAAACCTAACCAGCATCCTGCTCCTAAACCATGCTGTACGTTTGCTGTCTGATGGACTCTATCCCTCTAGAAACATGAACATTAAATAAACATCTCATTTCTTAACTTGCTTTGGTCCTGATAGTTTACCTTAGTAACAGAAAACAGCAAAAAACTTGGAATAGGAGGGATATAGTTATAATGAGTCTGACTCTGTTAATTTTTGGAGGAATGTGGAAGGCATTGGAATTTTGGGATAGAAAGCTATTGGATGATGTAAGCAGAGATAATGGGTTATTCTGGTAGTATCTAGGAAGACAGTGGTACTGAAAGTCATGTGCTGGCATAAAGTTTTGGAGGAGAAATGGACTCTATAATCAACTTGGCTAGATATTTTTAGTAATATTTTGGTATAGAATATGGATATATTCTGCCATAATCTTAATAACTTCCTGGAGGCTAACTTAAAACACAATGGAAATAGTTTATTTGATAGAAAATTTCAAGAAAGCATAACATAAAGACAATGTCACAATTATTACCGATTACTTCTATGCAGGACTCGAATAGAAAAGGAAAAAGAAAGAAATGAAAAATGTACAGCTGAGAGAGGACAAGAGCACTAAAAAGCTAAGTGTTCCAGCACAGGCTTGTGCCTAAAAGGAGGCAGTGATTGTTAAAGAGAAGTGGCTGAGGTCAAGCAACACGCAGGAGGTTCAGAGTCTGTGAGACAAGATCCTGAGAGGCCACTGCATGGGCTTGTAAGGGTGAAGCCTGGGTTGTAGTTGAGCCTCCCAGATGCTAAACATTCCAGAGCTGTGTCATCTGCCTAGGAGAGGTGCATCCAGGGTGTGCTGGTCAGTGTTCATCATTTGATGCAAAAATCACCATACTTAGGAAGATGGAATTCTAAAACACATGTTTGTGGAGTATATCAGTTCATTGAGGGGTATATCATTCTTGAGGAAGCCAGAGGTAACAAACCAGCAGACAGTATCCCTTCGTGGCCCTATCTGCTTCAGTTTTTGTTTTGTCCCTATCTTGATTTACTGGCTTAACTTTCCCTGGTAATGGACTGACTGTAACCTGCAAAGTAAATAAACCATTTCCCCCACAAGCTGCTTTTGATTGTGTGTTTTCTCACAGCAACAGAAAGAAAACTTGCCATATTTCAGGAAACAACGTTAGAAGGACAGACATTCAAGCCCTTGAAACTGAAAGTCTGAATGCGGAGCTGTAGGCTTTGTTTTTGGCCCCACTGGGTTTCAGTCCTGTTTTGATCCAATCTGTCCTTACTACGGCCCCATTCCTCATTTTTGGAATGGTATGAAGGTTTGCAATGTATATTCTGGGCCATAGCATGGAAATGCTGTGCTTGTGCATTTTTTGTAATGGAGTTGAAATTAAGAGTTTGCCTTGAGACTTAGAAGTGACTTTGAACTTTTGAAGGCTGTTCAGACAGTTGAGGACTGAGTAGTTTTGAAGTTGGCCTAAGGGATTTTGCCTCATGAGATGGTATAAGGCAATTGGCTCCAGGGATAGAATGCAGTAGTTTGGAAGAGAAATATACTCAATTTATTCATGAATTTTAGCACTTTGTCCCAGTAGGTGACGTTGTTTGTGGAAATGATGTAACAGTTGGTGCAGCCTTGCTGGAGGAAGCTTGTCATTGAGTCAATTTTGAGGCTTGGAACTTTGTCCCACTTCAGAATCTATCTGCTTCCTGTTCCCAGATGATATATGATTAGACAAACTTTCTTATGCTACCCTAATATTTTCCAGCCATGATGGACTCTATCCCTTTGGAATTCTTAAGTCAAAATATACTTTTTTTCCTGCATTGCCTTTTGTCATATAGTTTATCTAAGCAACAGAAAAGTGGCTAATGCATTTCCCCTGATAACTATAGAGTAAGATGAGATTTTTGAAAACAATAAACACTCTGTCTGTAGGAGACATTGAGGAATCAATCTGAAATTGCCTTGGAAACGTCTGTCTACTGTCCAGCTTTCATAGTGCTTGAAGGTACAATGTAGGTTTCTCAGGGAGAAAAGGCATCAATTGCCTTTCCCAAAGTGGATCTTGATGCCAGGTCTGTCAGGTACAATGTGCACACTAGTGAAATAGTGGCATTGATTTAAAAATGGTTCACATTTCCTCGAGAAGTATTTCTTTGGATAACCCGTTAATGTTTATATTGAAAAAGCTAGGTGGTGGTGGCACACACCTTTATTTCCAGCACTCAGGAGGCAGAGGCAGGTGGATGGTCTACAGAGATAGTTCCAGGACTGTCTCCAAAGCTACAGAGAAACCCTGTCTTGGAAAACCAAAAAAGAAAAAGGTGTAGCAGTCTAATTTCATTTCCTTTTATTACAGCATACCCTTAAAGAATTACTGATGGTTCCTCTGTTAACTTCATCAAGACCTACAAAGTAAGATGGTGGAAGAACAAAGCATCATGTAGGTGGCTAAGAAGCTTTTCTGACTGTGCTGTCTGTTATAAGGGTCCTGGAGAAACACTCAGTGCAAGGTGGAAAACTGAAGAGGGGAGAGCTTTGCTATTCTCTGTTCTCTTTAACTACAGGAGACACATTCCTCCAGGTTAACAGTTCTAGGCACTGGAAATCTATGATGTCTTCCTATGGAAATATTTACTGCCATATTTAGCATAAAGAATTAAATAATAGCCCTACAATTGGTGCAGAATTAAATAATTTATATAGAATTAAATAATAGTTTTACAATTAATGTGTGCTACTAACTGTATCTAGGGAGTTAGGGAATAAGTTGCCTGTTTGGTCCCCGTATTATCCAGAGTCCACGGGTCACACAGCAATCAGAAGGCTGTCCCAGCTAGGCCTTGCTAGTGATATAATGGAGGCCTGGTGTGTTTCCATGGTGACGTTACATCCAGATCAGAAGAACCTGCTCTCTACTCACAATCTCCTGGTTTCCATCATTAGGTTTAACTGGCATCAGACACTGCTCTCCCAGCTTCTTTTATTATTTGGGGAAAGCACAAGATCTCAGAGAAAAACTAGATAAAAAGCATCAGCTATCTATTAAGATACCCCAAGTTAGGAAAACAATAATTATTGTCTAAAGCTGATAAAGACCTTGTTTATTTTATTAAATATGTTTTATTTATCACCAATATTCATTCTGTTTTCCAGAGAAAACTATATATGCCATTGAAATTGCTCAGGGATTAGTATTTTATCCTAATTGAGCACCACAAGGTGTTTGTGTTGTGCCAAACATTAGACACAGTTGCCCTTCAGTGGCCTCAATTGTGGTAGATGCTTACTATTACTCTCCAAGACTAATCATGTCTCATGCCAGAAAGCAAAAGAGAATCCACCAATGCATTGAATTTTGGACTCTGTTTTAAGAATCAGTGTGTGAAGTTCCAACACTAGGTCCACGTTTTTATGCAACAATTCAGTTGTCTCGGCTTTGTGAGTGTCCCACCTTCCCATGGTAACCTTGTCAGAAGAACCTGCTGATGGACAAGTACTCTAGCAACCAACTCCTATTTCTTTGCACTGTGTGTGCATGCGTGTGCATGCATGCATGGGTACGTGTGTTTGGGTTGGTTTGGTACGTTGTGCACAAGTGTGTGCAGGTGTACAGGTGGATCAGAAGTTAACTCTGGTTGTTGTTCCTCAGTTGATGTCCACCTAGATTTTGTGAATCAGGGTCTCTCATGTTCCTGAAGCTCATTAAATGTGCTAACCTGCTCACCAGTGAGCCCTAAGGATCAACCTGGCTCTGCATCACCAACTCTGGAATTGCAAGCACCTGCCCCCCATGCTTGGATTTCATTACAGAGTTTCCTGGAGTAAAATTCAAGTTCTTATGCTTCAACTATTTTTCTCTCTCTCTCTCTCTCTCTCTCTCTCTCTCTCTCTCTCTCTCTCTCTCTCTCTCTCCTGAAAGCTTGGCCTTTAGCTTAGGTTTGTTTTCAACTAGCACTTTTTAAAATTGTTTTTATTGGTCAATACATTTTTGTCCACTTCCCTCTCTTCCTTACCTCTTCCTCTCTATCCTCTCCCATGCCCTCCCGTGCTCGCAATATACTCAGATCTGGTCTTTTTCTCCTTCCTATGTAGATCCATGTATGTTTCTCTTAGGGTCCTCTTTGTTGTTTAGGTTCTCTAGGATTGTGAATTGTAGGATTTTTTTTTTTGCTTTATGTCTAAAAGCCACTTATGACGAAAAACGTATTATGTTTGTCTTTCTGGACCTGGTTTACCTCACACAATATGTTTTTTTTTTCAAGATCCATCCATTTGCCTACAATCTCTCCATCCAGTTTCCAGTTTCTACTGCAATCTACAATGAGATTGTCCTGTCTCCCTAGACCTCAAACATGTTTTAGTTTAGCTGATAGGAGATGTTTCATTCAAACAAAAATATATATGTATATATATATATATATGTATCCAAAGGAATTACTCTTAAAGCAATATGAACAATTCTAAAATCATTTCCTATATGAATATTTCCAAGGTCAAGAAAGATGGAATGTGCCATATATTTTGTTATTATATTTTAATTTTGTTAATTTTGTACTTGATTACAGTATTTATATAATTTCCACTTCTCTTTCTTCCCCATCCATTCAATGTTCCCATTAGTGCCTCTCAAATATATTCTCTTTATTATTATTATTACATATGAGAGAGAGAAATCTGAATTAATTCAGCTTTTCTCATATCCAGGTTGTCATGCCAACTGTATTGTCTTTATTCAGATCTTGTTTAGATGCCATGTTATTGGGATTTCATGGATACAGATTCTCTATAATGTCTATAAGACACTATATAGTAGAAGAGATACTGGGTCAGTGGCTCCTAATACCTTTTCATCCATCTTCTATAATACTTTCTAAGTCATAGATGTAGCAGGTGTATGTTTTAGATGTCTCATCTGATATTGAATACGCAGAGTCAGCTATTTTTTGCATTTGGACCAGTTGTGGAGTTCTGTGATAATTCCCATCTCCATCTGCTTTACGAAGAAGCTTCTTTGATGTGAGTTCAGATTTGTCTCTGTAGGTATAGGGTTAAGAATTTAGAATGAAATGCCAAATTGTACTTGTTAGGGAACTGGCAGCAATAAGTTTTCCTTATATTATGAAATACATGATCTCTCCAGCCAGTTTCTAGGACCAGGTGTGAATTTCCTCCTATTCAGTGGGGCGCAAGTCTAATTAGACAGCTGTTGGTTCCATTAAGATCAAAGAGCCAATGCTGTACCACAAGGGTATCTTGCCATGCTGCATCTTGTGGTTTACAAGTATTACAGCTGGGTAGGTCCATTGATTTCTCTCCCTTGATAGTTTGCATAACTCCTTCAAATAATATTAGAACTGGTCCCCGTGCAGGACATTCTAATTGTAGTCCTCCAAATCTTATATTCAGAATGTGTTGTCCTCAGCAATAGAGTCCTACCGTCAAGGTAGGACTACCTTGTGACAAGACAAGGCAAAAGCAATAGCTTATACTGTGTACAGATCTGCTGATCTTCCTTGACTATCACTCCAAACATGATGTTTTCCCATGTTTGCCAATGTGAATTTTGTTAGAAAATATTTTAACCACACTGGAAAAAAAAATGCATGATTGCCCGTCCTTACGTTTATAAGTGTGTTTTGAAGTCAACATAAAATAATGTTTCCCCAAGACTTTTCAAACCTCCATAATACAAATATGCCAGTAATATAAGACAAAGATCTTTGGATTATCATTGAGAAAAATCATTCAGAAAAATAGTTTTGAATAACACAAAACTTCAAGACCACTCTGAAAAAGTTGTCAAATATAATACTAATTATTCCTTATTAATTGTGGTCTAGATTTGAGGCTATGTAAACAAAGCTTGAAACTTCGTCTCTTACCATATGAAAATGTTGGTTTTGTTAGGCTTATGTGTGTGTATGTGCGTGTGTGTGTGTGTGCATGCGTGCGTGTGTGTGTGTTGGGGAGGGGTTATAAGAAGTATGTCTATTAAACTCTGTAGCATTCCAACCAACTTCTTGCAATAAAGGAGATTTAGAAAGGTCAAAATTTGCCTTTCTTTCTTCTTTATGAGCAAAACAAGAGACAAAGAGGATGTGGTAGTGGCAGAGGAAGCTGGGGAAGAAAAGGGAAGGACAACAAGAACAGGAGGAAGGTGTCTTAGTTACTCTTCTATTGCTGTGAAGAGATACCATGACCAAGGCAACCCAACCAAAACAAAACAAAACAAAAACCATTTAGCTAAGAACTTGCATACAGTTTCAGAGGATTAGCTCGTGTTCATTGATGGCAGGTAGCAGATAGGCATGATGCTGAAGAAGTATTTGAAAGCATTACATCCTGATATTCTTGCGGCAAGCAAGAGTGGGAGGGGAAGTCTTGGCATGAGCTTTTGAAACATTAAATCCCACTCCCAGTGACATATCTCCTCCAAGAAGGCCATACCCTTAATCCTTCCTAATAAATTCCACTAACTGGCAACTAAACATGCAGATATATGAGCCGAGAGGGACCATTCTAAATCAAACCCACCACAGAGGGAGAAGGAGACAAGCTTACTCAGAATTTGACTTGTGGGCTTTGAAGATATCAGTATATTGATGGGTGATAGCTAGATTTTCAGTGTTGCCTGGAAAGTCAAACTCCAGTACATAAGTTAAGGATGTGACAAGAAAGGTGAGAGGTATGAGGGAAAATAATCTGATAGAAAAGGTAAGAAACCAAAAGAACAAACTAATACTATTTTAGACTTGGGATGTTCGAATGGTTCTTTCTTCTAAAAGTAGATTCTGTTCTGTAAACTTTGAGTTCCTTTGTCATTTACTGAAGTCGTATAAATGATTTAGTTGTTTTCACCTTAACTTGTGAAATAAACATGCCAGGATAAATGGGTATAAATTACCTGGTAATTACATATAAGGCAAAATATGAACATCATTATATAATTTCTAGTTCTATGAAGTCACATGATTAAAGATACAGAAAGAAACCTGCAATTCTGATTCACATTTCAGAGTATGGTGTAAAACAAAACAAACAAACAAAAATACCTGAGTGGAGTCTGGGGACAAAGCATAGACTTTGGCTCCAGTGCTACTACCAACATTCAGTTGTCAATGGGTAGAGTGAAATCACTATAGCTCATTTCTTTTTACTGATAATTAGGGAAAAGCTTACTGATTTTACGTGTTCTATATTTTAAGTTAATTTGGGGTTGAATCAAATACCAATTGTTTGTGCATAAGTGTCTTTAATTTGTTTTGTAGAGTTCTTCAGGCACTAGCAGCTATGAATATGAAATAAGTGGGATAAGATTTTTTTCTTACCTACTTACCAGGTTTTCACTGAATACATAAATACATCTCCAACCTGAACATAATTATCACTGATGAGGGACAAGGGAGTTTAATTTCTAAATAATCACACTTGGGAAGTAGA